GCCTTTAGACTGCTACACCAACCGGCAGATTAAGAACTTCATTAAAAAGTGAACCAAGGCTTTCTAAAAACCGGGTCTTAGAGAGCCTAGCGGCCCAAACGGTTTTCATATTCGGAATCAGCATAGTCGATTACCTATTGTGAGCTGGACTAGAGCTAAAAAGCGATTTATCAGTTGGTGTCCTTCCCTCGTTAGCCAACTAGCATCTGCTCCAAATATCAGTATTAGTTGCCCGTATCCGTTCGATAATAGTTATTCTGTTTTCTGTTCTAGTGACTGAGATTTCTCTATAAGAAGATGCTTTTTCATAGAGTGATGGAATTTGTTCATGACTGTTCAGCAACAACACGAAAGAAAGAGTATATCATTGATGAATGACTACAACTAGGAGCTTTTCTGAGAAAAGTCAACGATCTGGAACGCCGTGAAACGAATATTGTCTACAAGGTGCTTTTTAAATGACATTTCATGTTCGAACAGGTTGAAATAGATTTGTTTTTTAAATGTACTTTCCACATGTTCAAATGTCTTTAAAATGTTGTAGAAATTTAAACATATTTTTACAAAAATTCATGTAAATAGTAAATAATATAATATAAAAATGTATTCAAGTAGATAGGAATAAAAAAATGTATTTAAACGAATCTTATAGTTTAAATATGTGTAAATACATTTATTTCAAAAAATATATTAAAACGTATTTGTTTAAAACCCAGTTCAAATTTCTCTGACGTACTGAAGACATGTAAGCACATTTGTAAAAAAAATGCATTTAAACACATTTCGCATTCTACTTTCATTTAGAGCGATTTTATTTGCAAAACACATTCGAATATATTTTAAAATCAAGATATCTGATTAAATTTCTCAGAACAAAATACCTCTAACTGCCTTTCGTATTCGAAATCTCTTCAAATGCACTCTTAAAGTAAATCAGTTCAGAGTTCAGAGGTTTTTAATTCTAAAAGTTGTTTAAATGCATTTAGTGACAAATAGATTTTACCAGGTACTTCGGCTAAAAAGATGCATTCAGATAGATTAATAAAAACAATGCATTTAAATATATTTATTGTAAAAATGCAATTACGAGATTTCGACTATGAAAGACCTTTAAATACATTTCTACAATAAGTAAGATAAACAGATTTCTTTTTAATATAAACTTAGATGAATTTTTTATACAGATGATCCATAAAACAGTAAGCCCGTTTTTTTCTTGATTTGTTTCAGAATGGAGAATTATATCGGCCAAAATCGTAACAGAATCACGTCTCAGGTCCAAAACGGTCAGTTAACCTCCAGTAAACGGTCACACAAAAAACGGCGCGTTAACGTTATGAAAACGGCAAAAAAACGTCCAGTAAACAAGCCGTTAACTTGCGGTTTTTAGTGTAACCGTTTCACGGCCCAAAGATCGTCTGAAAACGTCCAGTTAACGGTCACCGTTTACTGACCGTTTTCAGACTACTTATTATTCACACCGAAGTTCGCCATTAACTGGCCATTAATGGGCAGTTAACGGATAGTTTTTACGCCGTTTTTCACATACATGATTAGAGATGCTTTTGACCATAAATAGGCCGTTAATGGCCAGTTAACGGATCGTTTTTAGGCCGTTTTTTAGAACTTTATGCTAGATCAATTTTAGAATGATTTTCGAATGTTTCATGACACATAGAGTACTTGGGGGTAATTAGAGACACTCTTGGAAATTTTTGTTGGGTTTTTGCTATTTCTTGGCCGTTTTTAATCTGAAAAACTTGCGATCATATTGGTTTCACACTACATGGGATATTAATTCAAATATGTTTTATGGACTAAATTAAACTCAGAATTAATTATGATAACTAGAGACTGACAGTTTTTATAAAATCTTCTGTTTATGGCTTACATACGAATGTTCTCTATCGAATGCAAAAAGACTCATCTGAAAATCGTGTAAACTACGCAAGAAAGATCGCATCAAATTATCCGACATATGTCCCATTTCAAGGACTCATATAGAAGCTGATATGAAGTTGTGGACAGCAGTGGGCATGCACCAGTTAAAAACTGTTGTTCGAGCTTCAGCGAAAATTGCTATAAGTCGCCTATAAAGAATTACTCAGAGTCGTGGAACGTCGCATTTTGTAGAGAAATGTTTCTTCTTGAATACTCGGCTGTGAAAAGAAATCTGAAGCTATTTCTAACAAAAATGTGAGCATTACAGATAACTTCGAAATATTTCTATGTGTAGGCGATTGTAATCCAAACATTTCTCTACAAAATGAGACATTCGGCGACTTTGAGTATTTCTTTATTGGAGGCTTATAACAATTGTTGTGGAAGTCACAAGTTGAATTGCGACATTGGCGTAGCGTGCATATATAAGATGATATGAATCCTTGAGATGGGACATATGTCGGATAATTTGGTGTTATCTTCCGTAGTTTTCACAATTACACGAGTGTCTCTATTTACCCCAGAACATAAAAAGAATTTCTAGTTCTGCTGATTATATGCTAATTAGCTGAACGACTTTAAATGATAATGAGCTCAAAACAATATGGTACATAGAGAGAAGTCCGGGCTATGAAATGAGGTATGTTTAAACTAATTATCTCCTGGATTTGGCTCAAAACTGGTCGAAAATTTTCAAAAGATTTTTATGTGAGCGTGTAGAAAAACGTTCGGTCTACCACCGTGTTCCATAGCAAGCTTTTCCGATCAAAAACGGTCAAGAAATGGCAAAAAGAGAACGAAAATTTCCAAGAGTGTCTCTAATCACCCTGAAGTACTCTCTATGTGTCATGAAACATTGTAAAATCATTCTAAAATCCCTTTAGCATAAAGTCAAAAAAAACCATCAACCAACAACTGGCCTTTTAACGGCCTATTTACGGTCAAAAGCATCTATAATCATGTATGTGAAAAACGGCCTAAAAACAGTTCGTTAACTAATCGTTAATGGCTTGTTTACGGTTTAAAGAATCCAATATGTGTGTGTTTTTCGTTTTTCCTCCATCATATTTCACACTATGTAGATGCACTGGAATAAACTGTATGTAAAGTAGTACGTCAGCTTGTAAGCTTGAATAGCACTGTGATAGTGTTAGTTTTCGAACCGACATGATGGCCATATAGTTACAGTGACAGACTGGCAAACACAAGTTCTGATGTTCGAATTTCGATATTTTCAAGTAAGGAAAAAAATTATAGTGGCGTTAGATGATGTGTATAGTCTAGTACCTAGATTAGGTCGATTAGTGAGAAAGGGTAGATGCGACAGATAAATCGATATCACGAAGTCAGAGGAAAATTTTTTAGGAGTTAATATAACTTCTAAAAAACGGCCCGTTAACGTTCTCAAAACAACAAGAAACGGCCAGTAAACGGTCAATAAACAGCCAGTAAATGGTAAGAAAGCGTTTAAACGATCCGTAAACGGTGAAAAAACGATTTATTTAAGATCCTAAAACGTTACGAGTTTTAGGTTCTGAAAACGATCCGTTTACGGCACGTTAACTTACCGTTAACGGTGCCGTTTTCTTGGACCTGGGACGTTTTTCCAACTTCTGACCTTAAAATCTTACTCAGTACAAAAGAGAGAAAGCGGAAAATTTTATCAAATCTGTCTAATCCTGGACTGAACAACTTCTAAAAGTTTCATTGAAGTTGAATGGATGGTTTAGTTTTGTGAGAAAAATACGTATCGTTACGGAATTTGAAAAGATTAAAAGATTCGATCACTCGCATCGTCAGCTTTCACACTTCTTTTGCTCATCTTTTAACTTTATCAGCGTATTTATAAAATAGTAACAGCAGCTGATTTTAGATTCATATTAATTTAATTAAAATTAAAACTAAAAGATTTGAAAAAGCGTGATTCGGTAAGGACGATATTTCAGTTTTTTAGCCTTAATTTTAAAGCTGAAGACAAAAAATGCCTTTTAATCTGTAGGTCATAGTCTTTTCCGTAACCTTACTAGCAGAAGCTTTCATATAAAAATTAAAGATTCGCTGAGTTCTGGCAAACTTTGCATTGCTCTGAAACGACTGACTGAAAAACGTGATTCTGTTACGATTTTGGCCGATATAATTCTCCATTCTGAAACAAATCAAGAGAAAAACGGGCGTTACTGTTTTATGAATCATCTGTACAGTCAATTTGTTTGTATAGGCTGTGAACGGTATCGGATGTGTACAGACTGAACAATCGTAACCATTTGAGTATCTATTGTACGGTGCATAATTATTGTCCGAACATTTTTTTACTACTACTATATATACTTTATGCATTCATAAACAAATTGTGCACCTGAAAAGAAAATGTTTTTTATGTTTTTCTTCACGTGTTGCAAGTATGTCAAGGACAATTAGCGCAATTACGTAATAATCGTGAAACTTCGGGCACGAGACCAGAACTAAAAGTACAGTGGAAGACATGACAAATGTTTTTAATTGGACGGGAGGAATAAAGCATGAACCATAATTTTGATTGAATTTTCTAGATCCACTAGCTGCAAAGCCGAACTCATTTTCCATTTTGTAAAACACATTGATTCACACGTTATATTTCACGTTACAAAACCGTGCAGCATATCATACGTGTTTAGAAATAGTTTTTCACGATCATTACATAATTACTCTTCACGTACTTGATACACGTTTTCTTAGCGTATATACCATTTTTCAGATGCGCAATTTGTACAGTCAAGCGCACGTTTCTTCTGTTCTTGCTTGTTTTTATATTAAATGTACTACTCTTTATTTATTGAATGTACTCGGCTTATGTCTGTGTCCTTACGTAAATGTGTATGCTGCGGATACATAAAAAAACGAAATCAAATTGTTTACTGTGAACAGTACTCAAAGAAGTTTGTTGTTAATTGGCAGAACAAAAGAAATTTATTCAAGCCGTATCGGCATTTTTTGATTTTTTCTTGTGCTAAAAGAACACTTTTATCTCTATTAAGGATGTCAGATAATTAACTTGTTGTAGACAACGAAACAGCACAATAATGGCTGCTGCTGATCGAGTAGAATTAGGTACGATGTATGAACTTAAAAATAGACAAAACTTGGCTGCGTATGAACGATTTGTGCAGTTTGAACAACTAATGAATAATTATTCAATAAAGAAAACAGGAACATCGCCTAATTCAGGCGCGGGTTCCAATCCTACTCCATTAGGTCTATGTGGATTTGCTTATACTACGTAAGTATCGAATTCTTTCTTGACAGAGAATCTCCTTAGTTCCCACCTCCGTTTTCAGTGATAATATGCTTGTCGATAGAGAATATTCTTCCGAAAATAAAAGGCTTTGTGCCCATAAGACTTCTTTCAAGAGTTATGAACCTTTTTATTTGCATATAGGAGAAGTTTTAGCAACACTGAAGTTTTCATATCTCGGTAAAAACAGCCAGAGAAGGACTGAGAATTTTCAGTAACTGTGCTAGTCATCTACTGATATCACAGAAATATTCTACCTTCAACTCTTCTACATAATGAGTACACCAATTTTACTTTGTTCCTGAAGAGATCATAGAGTGCAGCAAGAGTCCATTATAAAGTGGTATAGCATTAGCGCAAAACCGACTTTTTATACGGGGAACAGAATCGGTCCAAATTTTTTTTCTGAAGAGCTTATTATGTGAATCGACGGGCAGCAAAGTATCTCTTGATTCAAATCACTTTTCGCATTTTGGCGCGAATAGTAGCGCGTTTTAAGTGACGCCACTATTCGCGCCAAAATGCGAAAAGTGATTTGAATCAAGAGATACTTTGCTGCCCGTCGATTCATATAATAAGCTCTTCAGAAAAAAAATTTGGACCGATTCTGTTCCCCGTATAAAAAGTCGATTTTGCGCTAATGAACAACGTTATCCCTTGAACAAAATATGGTAACATCGAACGCAAACTTTTATAGACGTTAGCGGAAAAAAGGAGTATTGCTTAACATTAGAACCATATGGGCACGAGAAAAGAATTTCGTACTTCCTTCGTTTTTTCTTCTATCTAGTTTTTCATCGATCAAGGCAGATCAGTCACGTAATAAAGTTTTAATTGGGTTGTATTTTATTTTTCTTCGCAGATTACTTCGGAAAAAAAAGTTTTCGTTAACGAAGTAAAACTGGAGTGCTCTTTATGTAGAAGAGTTGAAGATAGAATTTTTCTGTGATATCAGTAGATGACTAGCATAGTTACACAAAAAGCTCAGTTCTCTGGCTGTTTCTACCAAGATACGAAAACTTCAGTGTTGCTAAAACTACTTCTATAAGCAAATAAAAAGATTCATAACTCTTGCAAGAAGTTTTATGGGCACAAAGCCTTTTATTCTTGGAAGAATGTTCTCTATCGACAGGCATATTATCACTAAAAGCGGAGATGGGGACTTGGGAGGTTCTCTTCTGAGACATTACTTTAACTTATGATGATTTAGATTTGTTTTATCGATGTACAATGCTGGTGCCACAGTTCCTGCTAGTGCTTCTCCTGGAGTTGTTATGGGAGCAGCATTATTCTATGGTGGCTTGATTCAACTGTTAGCGGGTCTGCTAGAATTTCGCTTAGGTAATAATTTTGGTGCATTGGCCTTTTGCTCCTATGGAGGTTTCTGGATGGGTGTAGCATCACTCTATATAAGTAGTTTTGGTTTTTTAACTGGCTATGACCCGACTACACTCAATAACGCCTTGGGAGTCTATTTCTTGGGGTGGACAATATTTACAGTTGCTATGTTTATTTCGTCACATCGGACAAATCTAGTATTGGTATCCTTGTTCTTTTTTCTTTCAATTACGTTCATCCTATTGACAGCATCGAAATTTCAAAATGGTGATTTGAAACTTCAACGTGCTGGTGGAGCTTTTGGCATTCTCACTGCATCGATTGCATGGTATGCAGCGTTTGCAAGTCTATTAACAAAATCAACATCACGTTTTACATTACCTGTCTATAGTCTAGCTTATGTTGAACCTGAAGTTACTGTACATAATATGCAATTATAAAACTCTATCTGTATTGTTATTCCAAGTCAAAAACTCATCTTCTGTAGGCCCATATATTATAATAAAAACTCAGCTGTATTTGCTTTGTTCGATAAGCATTTTATTTTATGTTTTGACACAATGTGTTTTATTCTCTCGAAAACGAGCAATAACTCATTTAGAACCAATGTCGGACGAAACAGACGAAGTAAATTATGTATAAATAAACTAAACTAAATATACATTAGTCATAGATGATGTTTTACGTGGATCATTAATTGACGTAAACTAGAATACAGGTCATATTACAATACTTTGGAATGGAAGAACTTTGAAGATGATATTGTATGAATCTTAATAACTTTTTTACTTTTTAGTCTACATATGTTTACATGTTTTCGTTTAAACATTTAGTTATCCGGTTGGATAACGTCTGGTAGAGTTTTTCACTCCCATAAAATCTATTATATGACACTTGCTCGGTTTTCTGAATGAAAGTGACGGTTTGATATATGCTTAGGCTTAGGAACGTTCATCGTTCCTTTTAAGCAAGCAAATGATCTCTATTATCATGTCATATCTGAATCTGGTCCCGGTTCAAACTATCTTTATTATTCAAATGTAACCACTGCATTAAATACGTCAAATCAAATCGTTGAAAACGTTAATTGTAATGGTTTTGCAGAAATATTTTCTATTGTCAACGTACTCTAGGACAGTTTTTCTCCATCTTATATATATCAAATTGTAGCTTGAGAAATTCTCTATCAGATGAGGTATTGTGTTGAAGTTTTTCGTTATGCAGATATTTTTCAAATGCGCCTTGAATCTAGTAAAGAAGACTAAATTATCAGTTTTTCATTAATGTTGGAGCAGTCAGGAAAATCGCCATGCGGTTACCAAGGTTCGCTGATAGTTGCGCAACATCTCATTTTGTAGAAAAATGTTTGTTCTTTCAAATGTGTTTGTTAAAAAGTTGCAAAATTATTTCTAAGGAAACTTAGAGCATTCGAAAATACGTTAAATCACCCCAAAAAGCCTGTTCAAACAGTTTTTTTTCGTGATCTGGTGCATTTTAGAAAGCTATCTATCCAGATTATCGAACCCACACTAAAAATTAAAAATCCAGAGTCCTTTCTTTGGCTGATGATTTAGTCAAACGATAATGAACAAAGTATATCACTTATAGGAGGCAATTTTTTTTCTTTTTCAATGGACATATGTGACCGGATTTTCACAACGAATAGTAAAACCTTGGATTCGTACATATCTTCTATTAAATTTTTCGAAATCATTCACGATTATTATTCTTTGAAACAGATAGTACTAGTAGGACGAGAGTGATAACACTTTTTCAGCAGAGCAGTGAGTTTTCAAACGCCCGTTTTAAATATCGGGCTTTTCTATTAATCGAATTAAAAGTATTTACACTCTTTAAATAGATTATTAAAAGACGCTCATACAACAGGATACACTTTGCTCTACTGAAAACATTTTTTTCGCCAAAAATCTATCGCATTTAAGATGGTTCCGAAAGGGATTTTTGTAAAAAAACTGTAGGCCAATTCTTTTAAGGTTTTCCAAAAGATCTTCAGAAACCCTTAAGGTACTTAACTATTCTGTCACAGGATAATCCACGCGTAATAAATTATTTCATGTTTTATTGTTCCGAAGACAGTCTGAATCTATGGGAAGTCTACAATAAAACGTTTTTCGACGTACGAGTAATTTTCATACAGATTCTACGTTAGGTATGCACCATTTTTAGCTGGTGTTGGGGCATCCGGGAAAATTGCTATACATCAATTATCACGATTCGCTCAGATCCGTGAAATATCTCATTTTGTAGAAAATGTTACTCTACAAAATGCATTTCCTAAAGGAATTCCAAAATCATCGGTAAGAAAACTTAGAACATTCTAAAAGGTAGTAAATCACAGCAAAAAACATCGGTTACCAAGGTTCGCTGATAGGTGCGGAACATCTCATTTTGTAGAAAAATGTTTGTTCTATCAAATGTGTTTGTTAAAAAGTTGCAAAATTATTTCTAAGGAAACTTAGAGCTTTCTAAAATGCACCAGATCATGAAAAAACTGTTCCAGCAGGTTTTCTTTCGCGATTTAATGTATTTTTGAATGCTCTAAGTTTCCTTAGAAATAATTTTGCAACTTTTTAACAAACACATTTGATAGAACAAACATATTTCTACAAAATGAGACGTTTCACGGCTCTGAGCGAATCATGATAACTGATGTATAGCAATTCACCCGAATGCCCCAACACCAGTTAAAAACTGGTGCATACCTACTCTACTTGTAAATTATCTTCAAATAGGTCACAATGTGGTTACTAAACATCCCCTATAATGTTTCATTATTGTTTTGATTATTAATATATAATTCTGTTCGCTTTCTTTATATATAAAGGTGCTTTTATAACGAGTAATATAGGTAAACGAAGTTTGATTTTGATTTGTGAAAGGTAAGAAATATATAAGTGAATGTCAGTATAACCTTCTCTCATTTTCTTTCCAGATCACAAATGTAAACAGTGGTTGTGTGCGATCATTTTCGCTAACATTCAGTGACAAAAATATTGTTATTTGTTTTTATATACGTGAGAGTGAGCCACTTAATAATGTTTTCTTAGTCAAGAAGCTAGACAAGTTTAAATCAACAGATTTATAAGATTCAGCACACTAACGTGCACATAATTCAAAATTCGACTACGATCTTTTTTGTAATATTTTATGCATCATTCGATGCAGAACTCGACGCTGATCACGAATATCTACATTTTAGCTTTAGAAAATTGGTTTTTGAATGGAAAATCTTCAAAATACCAGAAGGATCTCAAATTCCGAAAATCCCTTGGGCTTCAAAAAAAATTCATATTTGTTTCCCTTTTGTTCTTCTAACTCTTCAAAAGTATCTTTTTCGGATTCAGCATTAAAACCTGAGTATGGGCATAATACTTATCGAGGTTGAAGTCACAGGTCTATCCAGTACGAACGTCTTGGCTTCCCTGTAAAAAGTTCTCAGACAATTTTGCATACGTAACTAGGTTTTTTTTGTAAAAAGATGAAACCGACTTCATTAGAACCGCCATTAAGCGAGCTTTAAAATTTTCGCTTTTTTATTATTTTGCTTTACTATTGAGAAAATAC